CCAGTGCCACAGCGGCAACAAATGCCAATTGCTTAGGCAAAATTGCGCATAATTGACATTTTTCCAATTTGCTCATTCGTGCTGGAAGAGCACGGAGAGGGAGAGGTCATTGTTAGATAGTTTTACCCCCCCCCCCCCCCCCCCCCCCCCCCCCCCACCCCACCCCACCCCCCACCACCCCCCCCCCCACCCCCCGCCCTCCTCACGCCCGCCGCACGTTCCAACTAAATATTTTCGAACATAAATTTGTAAAATGGGCAAAGCGGACCCAAGAGCCGGGTGTCAAGTAGTAGAGAAAGAACAAGATGCCGCCAAAGTCGGAGGGCATGAAATCAATGTGCAGGATTTGGAATGGTTTATGGTTTGTTTTGCGGCCACTCATTAGCCAGGCCAACTGGCTAGTCCCGAACCGAATACCTCTGCCAGCGAGGGCTGCCACAGTCCCTCGTCCACTGTTCCTCACTCTCGAATGTGTCGCATTGTGTGGCTTCCATAATTATGAACCTTTTGTTGCTCAATCTGCTGCAACACTTGTTGCATTGTCCTGCGCTTTGTGTGTGGGTTTCCATAATTTCCGCCTAAAAGGATTTCACAGCTCATAGATAATCCCATTGGCATTTGAATGGGAGTCTAAAGGGGAATGGGATTGCGACTGGACGTTCTATTGTTTCTGCCAGACAGAGGCGTTGGCTCCCCACATCAAGGGCTCCCTCCTCAGATACTTTAAGATATTTTAAACTATTTTAAAGAGTATTTTCATATGCTTCAGGGATATCAGCACATTATGCGAATGTTTTCTTGCCTGTTTCGGTATATCCTTTACCTTTTGTCTTCCTGCAGTCTGATCTGTTTATCTCTGTCTGGGGCTGCTTAAGATCCTGCAGATTGGTTGCTGTTTCTCCTACATTCAAATCCTTTTCGATGCGTTTATGTTGAGTGATTTTACTCTGTTGTTTTGCATGGCAAATATATTAGCTATAACCTCTATAAATATATCTTTGAGTGTATTCCCAGCTCCAACCTCTAGTCTCCATTTTTGGTTCCCCTGCAACCCCCCCGACTGCGTAGGGCCTTCTAAGGCTGCGTGAGATGTCTCCAGCCGCTGTCTGACAATGTCATGATGGCGTCTTGAAAACATTGAAACGGAAACGTAGATGATATACAAATACATTGTCTGACAAGTTGCCCCTTTCCTGCCCCACGGCTGTTGGCCATAGCGATAGCGTGCGTGGCGTGGCGTGGCGTGGCAGCGGCAGCGGCAGTGGTGGCGGCAAAAGTGGCCCCTATCATTATGGCTGTCGTCTTAGCCGAAATTGGTCGAGGAACCAGCCACAAACAACAAAAGTTTCTTTCTTTGCGGATGCTCTTCCAGAATGGTTTCCTCTCCCCTCTCCCCTCGCCACACTCTTTTTCTCTCACCCCTGTCCCTGTCTATCCCTGATTTCTAGGCCTAAACATATTTGAGCCAAAAGATTCAACATTTTTCCCCTACCGAGTTGCTGTTTATTTTTTGTTTTTGTTTTCGGTAGACGAAAAAATTGATTTACGACTTCCGCTGGCAATGAAAATTCACTTTGAGGCTTTGAAAGCACTTTTGAGCTACTTCTGTCCATGCATGGGGCCACCACGGTGGTGATCGCCGATTGAGCGCTCTAGCCAGTCCCGAAGCCGGGTCGCACCGGTGCTCAGGGTGTTCATTTTTATAGACTCATTTAAGGCGATTATTTAGCAATTTTTTTAAGAGATTTCTTCACTGGTAGCTGGATGATTTTTCGCGCACACACAGAGACAGAGACTCTTGCAGTCTGTGCGCCAGTTAGTGGCGAAATTTATGGCTCAGAAAGTGAATCATTTAAGTTAATGACTTTCAAACGTGTTTCACACTCAAGTGCGAGCGGTACACCACACACACACACACACACACACACACACACACACACACAGACTTCGTGGCCGAGTGGTGCTGGGGAGGGTGAGGGTGAGGGTGAGCTGAGGGAGATAGGCGATGGCTGATTGGCGATTGACTTGACTCACTGGGCAAGACAAGTAGCCGCAGTGATTGATAATGCGCTGATTGAATTATGGCCATAAGTGTAATTTGGCCAGTGGCAGTGGCAGTGGCCGCAAACAGGGGTCACCAAATAAGCGCTGATGAAGTTTTTCTTGAGCTAACAATTAACTTCTAAGCATTACGAATGGAACCACAGGGGAAACTTTTATTTGGGGAATGATTCTATCCCCACTTTTTGCATACCCCTGCACAGCTACAGCCCTGTACTCGCTCTAAGCATCGATTCACTAAAACATTCCTTGGTCTTGGCCACATATCATGCTCGTATTTTGTTGCTGCTTTACTCCCAAACACGAGATTCAAATGGAAGCTAACAATTTTGGGATTTTGTCTGCCCTGCCTGGGGGTGTTTTTTCTGTTCAAATCTGAGTTGAGCTTTGGCTGAGTTTTGTTTGTTACGCTTTTCAGTCGTTCGTCTTGTGTTTTTGGCGGCAAATCAAAACGAGCTGAAGAAATTGGCAAATTGGCTGATGGCCAGTTGTCGGCGAAACCAAAAAGAGTTTCGCCTTTTGTGTGTGGCTCCTTCAACTTTGGCTCCATCTAAATCGAAGTCTGAGGCCGAGTCCGAGTTGCAGATGGAGATGGAGATGGAGCTGGAGATGGAGATGGAGTCCTCTGTCTATGCGTGCCAAAGTGCCAATGGCGTTTTAATTTGAAGTTGAAGTTTAGGACGGCGTCAGCTGCCGCCACAGACTGGGGGGATCGTTTATGAGCTGCCGACTGCTGTTGACTTTTATTTATTTAATGTTTCGGCTTTAGTGTTTGGTTTTTGCTTCGTTTTTTTGTTTTTGTTTTATAATTTTATTTGGCTTTTCCTGCCCCGGACACGGAAAGAACAGGACACGAACCTGTTCCCGATCCGACTACCTGCAAAAACAAAGAGAAGAATAACTGAGCGACTGAGTGGAAGATCGATGCAAAACTGGATTAAGTCCCTTTTACGCCCTAATCCACACTGAACCTGGCCTCTGGGACTCTCGGCTCATCGTGTAATGGCCAAGAGTGTGAGAGGGAAAGAACCAGTACGAGTGGGTCGGAGGGAAAGAAAGAGCAAGAGTTCAGGCGAATCCTGACCGAGACATGGCGCCAGTCAGTCAGTCAGTCAGTGGCCATTGTCATTGTCATTGTCATTGTCCCTCTAATAGGATCAGCAATGCTGTCTGAGCCCTGGCGTGAAATCCGCAAATGCATGTTTACCTTTGGCCCAACGAGGACCCGAAAAAGGGGTTGGCCCTGCAGCCCATTCCCATTCCCATGCCCCTACCATTCCCACTGCCAGCCCACTCCTTGTGGCAGAAGGTGTCTCTGTGTTTATTTGTTTTGTTTCCTTCCATTGTTTTTACAGCATATTCGCTCGCAGCAGTTACTCCAAAAATAAAGACAGAATCAGCCTGATCTCGGGCCGTGATGAGTCAACAGAAAAAAACACGAACAATATTTGAAAAAGTTCGCATCGATGTTGATGGGAAAACTGTGCAAACAATAAGAAGCTCCAAAGGCCCGCAAAGCTCTCGACTCTCGAAATCAAGATATGGCGCACACACACACTCAAGTGTTTGTATAGAGAAAGATACATTGTATTTATGAGAGTTGTATTCTCTGTACGAGGAGTATATATGTATATATGGATGTGGCCATCATTATGGCTTTCGATAGCAATTATTTGCTACCGTTTAATTGCGCGACGAGCGATTTTGTGGGCCGCTGTTGCCTGATTTTTCACACGCATTCGGGCCAGCACCTGTCTCGTCTTACTCCCCTGTCGCCCACAGTCGTTGCCCGCCCCCATGCCCAGTCGAGAACTACACTCCCCCTCGCCTGTGTCTAATGAGTCGCAAATACCTACGCTCTTCCCGCTCCATTTCGCACCAGCCTTCTGGTTCGCCTTCTGGCCCAATTCCGAGGCAGAGCTTAAAGTTTTCCTTCGCTCTGTGTAATTCGCACACTTTCTACGGGCATTTTCAATAGCCTGCTGGTATTGGGTGGGGGCCTGCCAACTTAGGCAGTAATTTGCATAGGAAACTTTTAAATCATACCGATTGAAAATGCACCACCCATGACACCTGAGTGGACAGCCTTGGCCAGAGGAGAGCAGCTGCCGCGATGGACACATTCATAAATATACATAGCCATATAAACAGATTCTTGGAACCAAAGCAAACCATTGAAACACAAACTTAGATTAGGAATTCATTTAGCTAACTAATCGATAAGTTATTCAGTCACGATGGGTGCACATCATTAAGAACATTCTGTACGTCTGTTCATTCATTTATACCCTCACTTCACACCTTGCATTGAATTTCCGTTTAGATCCAATTCATCCCTTTGAATCCATTGCCAATATTTGGTTCTGCCATCTAATTATGTAGCAATATGCTCAGCTGTTCCTTCTAATCGTTCACTTATTTATTTCGGGCTTCCATTATTGAAATCAAATCTCCTGCCACGTATCAGCTCTGTCTACATATCCATAATTCATCAAATAATTATCAATATGCTCGTACTCGTACATATTTGTGGATACATCATACGCGTATCAGAGCACTTGTGGAATATTTCCCATTTTATGGGCCATATAAAAAACAGTTTCCATACTGAACAAACGAGACGAGCCGAGTCGAGTCATTCCGGACTGACGCGATCACTTAATTACCTGTGCGAACTTTTCAACCGAACTGCCGGTGAGTAGAAAAAAACCCCCCCAGAGCCAGGGCAGTTGCACGGAGAGGAGGGCTGGACTTCTACTTCTACTTTCAATCATCTGGCAAAAAGGAGAACCGGTTGTCAGTTGGGCTGACATTTTCACCTCGTTAATTATGCGCACGGTCATGCAAATCTCGTAATGAAGTGACGGCCATTGAGAGTTGCATTGTCAGCAGGCAATGATATTTTAATCGGATGCCTAGTACAAATATAGGGGAACTAAATGGCAAACAACTTCAGCTGTAAATGGATGTAGATGGAGCCTAGCAAAAGTACTGGCGTGAGGGCTGGACGCGGCCGTACTCTCCGTACTCTGTGGGTGGAACCTTAAAGTTCATAGCATCTGCGTCGAGCTTCTCCTGGCGCTCCGCCAGAATCCGCTCCTCATCCTGCTGGGTTACCGTGTGCTTCTGGTGCAGGCGACGGCAACGAGCGTAGCGCAGAAAGTGCTCGTCCCCGTACATCTGGCGGCTCTCCAAGTAGATCTGCGGAAGCCGACCATAGAGTTTGGCCTGCATTTGCGGATACCACGACATACGCTCCTTCCACTGTTCATCGATGGCCGACATGTGAGCGGTTATGGAGCGCTGGCAGCGCTCCGCTGTGACCACATCTGATGGCATGATCAAACAATGTCAATTTCCTTGTGGTTGTAGAGCAGAAGCAGGCCTCAGTGTCAGTATCTGGGAATGTGCCAACTTTGGATGAGCACTCGACCTGGGCACATGTGATTGGCAGCTGGGGCGAGCGTTCCGTTTCCCTAATCGCATTAGCAGAGGCACCACTTGACAAGCGACAGGTGCCTTCGGTGCAGGTCCAGTCCCGCCGCTCCTAGGTTGCCACCGCCAGCTGTGCGAAGAAAACTCCCACTTTTCCGCACAGAACCCAGAACTCCCAGAACAACATTCTGGCAGAATTCGACCTGTCCCTGGGGCAGGACAGGCCTATGCTTTGAGAGCACTAAAAGTCAAATTCGAGCTTCATTCTGGTTTCATGCCCGATGCTTTTATTTAGCTTTTGGTAAAGTAGACAACAAAATCGCAACGCGGAATACCGTCTACAGACCAGGTGCTATTCAGATAGTATCGGCCATCCGGCACTACCGACTGGATGATCTTGTTTATATGCTGAACGGGAATCTTATCCAAGATGATATCATGCTGGGAACCGAGGAAAGACAGGTGACACTTTTCGCTGTAGAATTAAAGGATTGGTTTGGATTGGATTGGATTGCACTCACGTGGTAGGGACAGGTGTGGTTGAGGTTCGAGAATTCGGCAAAGGTTTGGAACATCCAGTTGACAATTACGTTGCTGCGATCCCGCAGGAACTTGCAGGCGTCGAAGCGGACATCGAAGTTGTACAGAATACGCTTGTTCTCGCGCATCCTTACCTGGAGACTGGTCTGCAAAGATCAAAAGTTATGTGACTCGGCATGGTTGGCATGGCTTGGCATGATCCTTACCACGGCGTTGGTAATCGGAAGCTTGTGCAGCTTGGTTTTCATTGACATGTATTTGAAGGTGCGATTCACAGATCTCAAAAAGCAGTAATCAAATTCCATGAACTTCCGATCGCGGACGAGACAGCGCACATTGTTGAACTCAAAGTTTCCGCCTATCTGTTCGAAAACAACTCGTTAGCTAACACTCGAATATATACTTGGATTCCTTACTGCGATCGGTCCCATGGCAATTAGTATAAAGTAACGCAGAGCATTCATTCCGGAACAAGACTGCGAATGAAACTCAAATACTAACTCAAGCGACTATCGGAGCCACATTTAAAATGTGTCGCTCCATTAACGCCATCAGTTAGCCTATCCTAACCAAATATCCATCTACGAAATGTTTAAGCCCATTACAATAGTGTGTTTATGATTTTAAACAACAATAATTTTGATCAGTGCGAGTCTGATGATCCACAAAGTCAGAACAATCAATGCAAGCAGTGCAAAGAACGTAAGCTGCTGTCATGGGATCGCTGCTGTTTATTGTTATATTTTAGGGATAGATCCATCCATTCGGGAATGAATGCATGGACAAGGTTGTCAAATTTTAACTTCTGCCGTCAAAGGAACAGTTTCATGCTGACCAGCTTTTGTCACAATGTTACACCGTATATTCGATATAAATGACGGCTCAGTGGCGCCAATGTTGTCATTGCTGTTTGTAACGCCACCATGACTACAACATGAATTCTACATTTTACAATTACATTAATTTAACTTATGCTAACATTTCACATACAGTTCTTAACTTTTATATAATTTCTGATTTTTCTCTTTTCTTTTTAGTTTTTACCTTATTTTACAAACAATGCAATCAAAAGATTTCTTCAAAACTAACCCATCTTGTGGCAAATTTATTGAAGATTCAGTTAAAATTATAGTTTTAGAGCTGAAAGTCCTCGTTAGCTGGAAATATTAAACAGAAGATCAAAATCGAGGAAAATTATGATCTCAAGAAAATATCGATGTCGGATATAATGCGGATAATGCGGATTCATCGTCGTGCGATTATCCAATTCGCTGAAACGATTAAATACTCTTTCACACACACATAGGCGCCTGCGGCGAAACTCTCTCACACACATAACACAAACACAAAACATTCTAAAAACGTAGCGCTCAATTATTTCCTTTTTTTCTAACCTTTTCAGCTGAAAGGAGTCATGAAGAGTAGGCCAATCTTGTGGCGAATGTATTGTACAATCGTAAAAAATTGTAGTTCCACAGCTGAGAGTCTTAGTTGGATGGCAATATTATACAGAAGATCAAAATCGAGTAAATATGTCATTGACCGAAACCGATTAACCTTCTGTTGACCAATGGGTGTTGAAGTGCAAGCTAAGAAATTAAAGAAACTTAAAGATTTTTAACGCAGTTTAGCTAAATGAATCGGTGCCCATTCGAATTTATTCGTAAGCAGGGGGGATGGGTTGCTACAATAAATATTTACAAACAGTTTTATTTCGCCAATTTGCTGACCTATTTAAAAGGCGGGCGTTCAGTGTGTTAAGTTTGAACAGTCACACGGAATGGCCATACCAAAAAACAAAACAAACCACAAATTCGGCGGGAAAATCGTTTTAAAAAGTGAAATAATACCACAATAATGCCGGATGATTCACAGGAATGGCGAAAAGCAAGACGCTTCCTTAAGGAGCGCCTGCAGCGGGACTACACAACTCTGCGGGGCTACCAGGAAGAGCGCTCCAACGTGCGCCAGTTGCTGCAGCGCACCGCGGAAATGGGAGAATCAAACTCCTTGCTGTTGATAGGGCCGCGCGGCGCTGGAAAAACCACAGTATGATCAAATGAATATGCCAATATTTGCATCTAAAGCTTACCAGAGTCCTTGCAGCTCATCAATGCCGTACTCACAGATCTGCTGGTCAACAAATCGTTCGTGGACAACACGCTGATAGTGCACCTGGACGGGAATCTGCACACGGACGACCGAATTGCCCTTAAGTCAATTACAGTGCAGATGAGGCTGGAGAATGCGGCCGACGGCAAGGTCTTTGGCTCGTTCGCCGAGAATTTGGCCTTCCTGCTGCAGTGCCTCAAGGCGGGAGACAAGAAATCCAAGAGCGTTGTGTTTGTTCTGGAGGAATTCGATCTATTTTGCACGCATCACAACCAAACGCTGCTGTACAATCTCTTTGACGTGTCGCAGTCGGCGCAGGCACCGATTTGTGTGCTGGGAGTGACGTGCCGCCTAGACGTTATCGAGCTGCTGGAGAAGCGCGTCAAGTCACGGTTCTCCCACAGACAAGTGTTTCTGTTCCCCAGTGCCGATCACTTTGAGGAGTACACAAAGCTCTGCCAGGAGCTCCTCTCGATACCCAGCAACAGGGAGCTAAAGGCCAGTGCCGACCGCATTGACAGCCTGGAACTGCTCACGTCGGATTCCCTCAACTTTCATCGCAACCACTTCGACGGCGTGGAGTACGAGTTCGACAGCAAATTCGTGGAGAGCTGGAACAAGCACCATGCCAAAATGCTCACATCCTCACAGGCCCAAAAAAGTCTTCAGATGCTGTACGATTTCGACATCAGCGAGGCATTCCTCAAGAACTTCCTATTTCGCTTGGTGGCGCAACTAAAGCCAGACGTTCCCCACATCACTGTCGACCAGCTCACGGCGCTGGCGGCCCAATACGAGGGTGATGACAAGATCGACCTGCTCTGCGGCCTCTCTGTGCTGGAGCTGTGCCTCATCATAGCCATCAAGCACCACTCGGAGATCTACGATCGGGATCCGTTCAACTTTGAAATTGTATTCGCGCGCTTCTCCAAATTTGCCAAGGTCTCGACCACTATGCAGAGCGTGGAGCGTTCGATTGTCCTGAAGGCGTTCGAGCATTTGCGCATCGGGGAGCTGATAATGCCGCTCACAAACAGCGGCACGGGCAAGGTGCAGAAGGAGTTTGAAATGCACAAAATGGCCCTGACTTATGGCCAGATTCAGCAGGCGGTGCAGCGGTACCAGGCCTTGCCTACGGAGGTGGCACAATGGGCGCAGAGCTCGCTCATCTAGTGCGGGATCGCTATTTATCCCTGAAAATTCCTTAATTATTCTTCTTATTTATTTATGTAATAAATTAGGCTTTTATATATTGAACTTGTTCTCGCTCTGTATATATTGAACTATATGTGTATGCACGAATGTATTCAGGTCAAGCCTGAGGTCTTATCTGGTCCAAGTCGAAACTGATCGATAATGCTAATTCCTGGAGACACCCGCATGTGGGTGCACCAAAAATGTGGGTGACTTTCCAATATAAAAGCCGTTGAGGTGGGAGCAGCAGTGACAGGCTAACTTGGAGTGTCATCAGCATGAGATCCTTAACTGTCCAAGCCGTTCTCCTCCTGCTGGTGATCGTGGCCTTTAGCCAGGCAGATGATAGCCCGGGCTTCTTCCTGAAGATTACCAAGAACGTGCCCCGTCTGGGCAAACGCGAGAGTTTGGCAATGAAGAACCTGAAGACCATTCCACGCATAGGACGAAGCGAACAGCAGGTGAGTGAGGCATTAAACCATTCCTCAAGCATTCCTTTCAAAAGTATTGCCTTTCTTTCAGGCCGCTGTGACACCTCTTCTGTCCTGGCTGTGGGACTTAGACGTGTCGCAGCCCAGCAAGCGGCGCCTGGCCGCAGGGGAGGCCACTGGCCAGGAGCGAGAGTTGACCGTGGTGCAGCCAGTGAACTCAAACACACTGATGGAGCTCCTCGACAACAATGCCATTCCCAGCGAGCACGTGAAGTTTGTGCATTGGAAGGACTTTGATCGTGCCCTTCAATCGGACACGGATCTGTATGCCAAGGTCATTCAACTGGGCCGCCGACCCGATCATCGTCTCAAGGAAGATCTCAACTTCAGCAGCTACGTGCCCATCTTTGACAGCAACGGCGACCAGAATACCCCCTTTATGATGTACAACAACAACAACGAGGATCGGGATCTGTATGGCGGGGCCAATCGCTACGACCGCAACTTCTTAAAGTACAATCATTTGTAAGGCCAGAATTGACTTATCATTCTACAGTGAGAGCTCTCTTTGGATATCGAGCTCAAAGAGAGCTGTCACAGCTTATACTTACCATATGCGTGTGTGTGTTTTGTGTATTGATAATGTCTTCTTATGTGCGCAAATCTTGAAGTAAAGTCGAGAATACCAAAGAACATTGCTCTGGGGAGCCTTTTGTTTATCTGGATGTGGTCCCGTCCCGGAAGGCAGTCCAGTCCACAGCCTCTGCTCTGACTGATAGCAGCAGCCCATTAACGGTTTTTCTTCTGTGGCACATTACAATCGCCCTGTGGATGTGTCAACAACCTAACGGATCGGCTCTCTTCCTCCTCTCTTACTTTTCTTTTGGAATGACTCAATGGAACGATTTCTTTTTATCAAATTTATGTGACATTAAACATATTGGGAATTCCATCAGTCTTGAAATAAAATCGCATTCCTACGGGATGGAGCTTTAGTGGATGCTTCACCGGGACTGGTTCACCGCATTTTGCTTTATAATTCAATTAAATGAAGTTCAAATTGAGTTCGCAAACAGGATTGTGTCCGTCTGGCGCCGAAGCATATTAGGATTCGATGTATTTATTTTGTTTAATTAGCGATCAGTTGTTAAATATTTGACACGCTATTGTTGCTGTTGACCAGAATTCGCCAGACCAGCCCAGCATGGCAATTAAAAGTCCATAAAGTAAACAATTGGAAATTACAATCCGGCCTCGTACTCTGCTCTGCTCGCCGGAACAGACTCCATGACGCGACTCCACAAACTTGACTTTGAAATTTTTGCAATGGTTTCCCGGCGTGGCTGTTATTTTCGATTTTTTTTCTCAATTTCTATTTTCAGTGCAAGCGTAGAACAAACAAGTTTGCCACGAGAGCGAGAGAGAAAGACGGAGAAAGAGAGTGCGAGAGAGAGAAACATCAGCTTACAAATCAGCATGTATTTATGCAAGGTGTGGCTTTTTTCAAAAGCTCTTTTGGAGTCCCTTAGTTTTCTCATTATGCACGCTACCGACAGAGTACCCGGTGAGCGCGGCCTTACCTTAATTTCAGTATACCTGCGAGCAAACTTCGCAGCTTTGGCGCATAAAAACGTGTGCGCTTGCGGCTTCAACTGAAGAAGAATAACAGACGTTGTCGTCGTTGCCGGTTTTTGTCATCAGCGCTGTTTTGGTGTTTAGTGGAATTTCGACGGATATACGGGTATACGTGATCGTTTTATAGGCGCCTCCCACCCACTCCACCGCACGCGCCCGCCCCACTGATATGTGAAACGAGCTTTTTGCGTTTCAAGCTGGGACAAACAAAAGAAGCAAAGCAAAGCAACAACAAAAACTATAGATAACACAAAATTAGCCACGCTTGTTTTTTCTGTCGCGCCAATTCAATTAAGTGCGAACAAAAGAAAGTCCAAGCCCAGGCCCAGTCCCAGTCCCGGCGACCAAGTGATAATCTATCAAACAGACCACAAAAGCGTTTCCTAATTAAACCCGAAACACACAAGCTCCGAAAAAGAAAGTCTACGCTGGACAGGCATTACACAACAAGAGCGTGCAATTGACCCCGGCCACGGATCATACGGAGCTGAGCACGTCAACCTATTGCCTTATCGCAGTACGCAATAAGTGCCAAGTAAAAAAAACAACAGCTATTCCACAACACAACTATGACGACTGCGGTGAAAGTAATCTTGGCCTGGTGTCTGGTGAGCGCGTTCGCCATGCAAATGAGCTCGTCTTCGGCCATACCCATTTGGGAGTTTTTGACACGCAGCGAAAAGGTGAGAGCACAGATGAGAGCTGAGAGAGATCGGTGTGATATTCAATCTATATTTTACGAGCCGGCATTCCTAAAATGTACATTGAACATTCTCTGCAAAGTTTTAATTACTATTCTGAATCAACAGCTATTTGGCTTTATAACTTCCTCTCTGATTTGGCAACAGGAAAACTCTTTTGGCTTGTTCTACATTATTTTAATTACAACTTTTGCTTTAAATTTAACGATCATAGAAAACTTTTAAATCTCTAAATGTTTTCAGTCAGCACTTCTGAAACACCTCGTATTCACAGAGAGAACAGCTGCTCGCTACTAGCTGCTCCAGTTATGATCGGAATCACCTAATTGTCCTTGGCATTGTGCATCTGTTAAATCTAGCACAAAACTGAATGCTTAAGTGGAACATAATCGATATTAATATGAGTATTGATATTGATATTGTGCTAACTTCAATGAGCATCATAAAACACAAATGTTTGCATATTAACGGAGCTTTCTGCTGCTGCTTCTTGTCTTTTCTTATTGGCTAGTGGCGGTCGCCGGATCGGCGATCTAGCAGAGCAGAAAAAAGAGCAATCAAAACAAAAGAAATTAATATGGAATATGAATGGATAACAAGCCTCTGCTCCGATGCTCGATGGCATCTTCAAAGTCAGTTGGTGAGCGGTATTTGGTCGTTAATTTGCATAACTTTACCGTATTCGGCTGCTGCCCCCCTTTGGGGGCGATGACAAAGAAAACACAATACATAGACACACTCGTACATATATCTACTTGAGATCAGAAGAACACGGGCACAGTCCTTGGCATAAATATGTGCCAAGCAGACTCTGAGTGTCACTGTGAGTGTGATCTTGACATTGTGCGTTATCAGAAAAGTGGCAAAAACTTCGGGCCAGCTGCCCATGGTAATGACCATCGTTAGAAATACCGGCTGAGCCGGTCTACCTGTTTCGTGGTAGCAGACTTTGAGACTTCACGCGATTCCCACTTGCATTCCCCTGGCTTGGAGCAGGTTCGCCTCTGATCCTCTGCTCCCAACATACCTCGTTTTCTTAAGTGATGAGCTGTTTCTTCCCATAGAGCTGGCCAATCCAATCCCAAAGGCCTTCCGATTTAGCCAAAAAAAAATCAGACGGTACCCAAATGAGCTACGAGCGGAGTCACCAGAGCATGTCCCGAACATTAATTTTCATTTATGGGAAACAACGGTTTCAATTTACATTTGCAGTTGCTGTAAATTGGCCGTAACCCCCCACCCCCCCCCCCCCCCCCCCCCCCCCCACCAAGCAGAACCCACTAAAAACTTTTCACTTTTCTGCTCAAATGTTTGTGCAACAAGGCGTGACAACACTGCAGCAATTTTCTCTTCTGTTTGCTCAGTTTTTTGTTTTGTTTATTTTTGGTTAATGAACTCCAAAGGTGGAGTTTGTTTAAAGATAAATATAAATATATTTGCTGGGATTTTTTCTCTGCCTTGTGAATATTAATTAGTTGCTGTACGAGGTGTGTGTACATACATATATGATATAGCAATTTGCCCAGTCATTAGACCTTTTTTTTCGTTTTCTTTTTTGGACGCGCATCAATCTGAAAAGCTCTGTTTTTTGTGTGTGTTGTGCCGGTGCTGACCGCTAAGCACGCGAACTGCGCCTTAAAAATCAAAGCTCCGAACAATAGAACCCCCAGAGAATATAGCAGAACAGAACACAGTGTAAGCTGATCCAGCTAGAACCGATTGTGTGCCATATCCGGCACCCACACACCACAGGCACAGCTCCCTCCCACAAATGAGAAAAAAATCTCGGAGTGAAAAAAATCCCATTAAATGCCAAAAAAATAATATAAATAGAAACGCCATTAGCGATCCTAAAGCCGGGAAGAGAACCACACACAAGTTGTGGATTCTGATGATGTTATTGCTTATGTAAATCCAATCTCTAATTGCAATTAGAATTCCCTTTCCACCGCTACACTACCCCCCGTGAGATCTATTAATAGACTAGATTTCTTCTTCCTGTTTTTTTTTTGCTACTGTAGTCTCGATGATGCTACTTTTTACCGATCGCACAGCTTTCGATTTTTCGATTGCAAAAAAATAAAAACATCCATTCAATCGGCTTTTTGGGGTCTTTTATGTTGTTTATGGATGCAAACGCGTTTAGCCGGTTTGCGGTTCGAACCGTTCAATAAATAAATTATGTTCGCATTACTTTATTTTTCGGCATTTTACGTAAAATATGTTAAGATATCGCCCCACATGTGTGTTTATAGGAGGAAAGATACAGCTCGTAATGGGAGCGAACCCTTTTTCCAATGCAGCTAATCGAACGGGACCAGGTCCATGGCATTCCATTCCAGAGGAGACTCTCCGCTCCGGAGTGTCATTTCGATTTCTTCGATCTGCCCTCTGCTCCGTCTTTGGGTTTTTGTATGTTATGAAATGATTCAGTTTTTTGTTGATTTTTTTTGTTGGCAATCTCGATGTTTCATAATGTAACCTGCGCATATCAACAGGTTATTGAACCGCTGCCGCCACGGCATTTGGGAAGGAAAGATCTTTGATAGCTTTGCGAGACGAGTATTTTTAGTTCGGGAAGCTACCAGATACCTGAATAGTGACTGCTTAATGGGCATATTCTCTGAGGCTTTGTTTTTTCCGTTTTAGTTGAATATTCTCGATATTTGTATGGGGAAGTCGAGTCAGAGATCTAAGATTAGTTTGCGGGGCGAGAGAGATGATTTTAGGCCAAGATCAATTCATTCTCTAGACGTTCCCGTAATTGCATTCGATGTCAGCTTGATCACTTAGTTGGAAGGCTAATAAATGACAGCCTCCACGACGATCTTAAATCTACATATCAAAAATATATACAAATATACATATTTATGTATAGGTATGAACAAATTGCATACATTATAGAGGTGTATTCTGTACGTGACTTTGACAACTCCCGCAAAAGGCAGATTGGAATTTTTACCTTATATTTTTACAACGTTTATATGCCATAAATTATTTAGATAATATTTTGTTTTTGCACAAATTTGTTTCGTTGAATGTTTTAATGTTCATTTTATTTTGGAGTTCTGGCTAATTATTTAATTGTGTCAGGGCCTGGACCATAAAATGCCGACAGAGTTATTCGAATCAGATAACGTGCTGCGTGACGTACTTTATTTTAAATTTAAAAATAAACTAAATACAGTGCGTTTCATAGCGCAAAGAGAGCATACAAAGGAGTTTATAGGAATATACTATGTGATAACTTTTCTAGATTCGTTCTAATCCGTTTAATAACCAAACTGTTTAGGCAATCAGATCGATCTTTAATCATTGAATTGATGATTCATGAGAAATCTTTAGATAGGCTGAAACTTAAAGCAGTACGTGGATAGCCTCAATCTTCTGCGACGTGCTGTACTTTTGCACTTGTCGGAGTTGAGTAATTTGTTATTGCCACAAGTGCATGAAGTATTTAGCTGTAAAAACACAGAAAACACAAAGCGATAGAGATAGAGAGAGACAAAGAGACGGAGAGAGAGGGACAGAGGGACAGAGGGCGATGCATATTCGTATCAATTGCATTTTACATTTTGCACACGTTTCTGTGCACACTGCTGTTGTTTCGTCTTGGCCTGGCTTTTGGCTCTTGGCTTGCTAACGGTAATTCGTAAGTTGAGCTTGCCCCAACCCCTCCCCCATCCCTAAGCTACTGCTGCGGCTGATGATCGTCTCCTCCATTATGCAAACGGCGTAAAATTGTAAAACCCCGAAACGAATCCAATGCAAATCAAGCTCTTTCGTGCGCGCCACAATGGAAGGGGCTCAAGGGTGCACACCGGACAAGGGACACTAGACACCTCCCCAAAAGCAAACCAAAATAAATAGTGACCCAGAATTGATTCCACAATCAACTTACTTTCTTTATGCGTGTTATCTGTTTATCCCGTTTGCCGTTGTTGATCTGTTTGCTTCGGTCTGGGATCCGATGCCACGTGCTAATTTGCGTGAGGGAAGATCCGGATTGGGGAGTTTCTGCAAATTGATTATCGTTGGATTAGCAGCGCAACCGCTTGACGTCACCTCTGAGCAGATGGGGATATCTGTGAAATTCCAGAGCCACCAGAGACGCAAAATGTGTCATCCAAGTAGAACATTCGACGCTAATTAAAAGTCCATTCAGCGCTCCGCTACCCACGAAGAATAGACAATGACGGGTGCCGCTCAGTTTGGCTACTGAACCGTAAAGCCATCCACAGCAGAGCCAGCGGCAGCCCCAAAGTGGAGCACACCCACACCCCATGACACCACCTGGCCCCTAGCCCGTGGCCCCTGGCATCAGCAGGGGATTGCCCAACATGCGAGAGGCTTTCGAAATGCATTTCGTTTGTGCAACGAAAGTGCAACCATCCCAGCATTCCCCCGCCCCACTGCCACCGCTGACGACACCACACGCACTGCTGCTGCTACTGTCATTGCCTAATACACCCTCTGGCCTCTCTTTTGTCTTTGCAGATGTCTTACCTGTACTCCACCTTTGCCCAGCTGGTTAGCGTGCACTGCAAGTCGACGGTGGGCGGCGGGCTCCCGGTGAATCAATGCAAGCACAATCTGCTCGGCTACGGCTACGAGAAGCTGCAGACACTTTCCGATGCGCAGCTGGAGGCACTCGATCCCTATCAGCGCGATGCCAATGAGCTGAGTAAGTACTCGTGTCGCGTGGGAAGCCACGCCAGACCAGATCAGACCAGACCAGACCAGAGTCTGGCTTCCGCGTCAGAACTTCCGCAAAGCAGAAGCAACGTGTGGTCCAAGTAGTACGTGATCTGATTTCTGATTAATGTTTCTTTTCCCGTTCGCTTCTTCTCCGCAGTCTGGTCATCGATCATGCGGGAGCATCCAAGTGCCACGCTGATCACCACGCGGAAACCGCTGCAGCCGGTGCCTACGCCGCCAGCCTCCTCGCTGATCATCCTCACCCACCAGCAACTGCCCCAGCAGCAGACGGCTGAGTCCAGCGCCAATCCGCTCTTCGACAGCAACAACGAGCAGAAGCACCAGTATGCCATGGACATGGATATGGCCTACGGCTATGGCTCTTCCTCTCCAATGCATCCCCAGCAGCAGCAGGCCAGCAGCGAACTTCCAATGGCCCTTGCCCTGACAGCAGAGCCGCCAAAGACCTACCTGAGCGGACCTCTGGTATTCCGATTGCGTCCCGATGGCTCACCCGTGGAGGAGGACCAGAACCGGCCGCTGCCCCGCGACGATGACCTGGACATCTTTCGCCTGGGCCTGGCCGCAGCTGGAACCGGAGGCCGGCCGCGATCCGCACTGCCCAACAGGCACCGAAAGATTGCCACAATCAGTGCCCTGAAGCAGCAGCACTTTGCCTCCATACTGCAGCGCGATCTGCAGCCCCCACACCAGATACAGAGGCGCCTGTTCCGCCAGCAGATGGCGTAAGAGCCACACGCCTGTTGTGGCTGGCCCTAGATCTAAGCCTTTTGTGTGATTGAAGGGATTGAATGTGATACCATATATATCTGCGTGCATGGCTGAATGCGTGTGGTGGAGTGAAGGGGAGTGTGCCTGAGGACGAACCTCCCTCGTTTTAGATGAGGAGGGGGATCAGATGGAGACACTTCTTGGATGCACCTTGAGCTTTAATGAAAGTTTAAGTTTTCTATAATTTTATTTATTCGCGTGCATTAGCCGTAAGATCAAATACAAGTAGAGATTCTTGAATAATAAACCGCATAATTATTATCATTATTATTTTGAGTGTCAGTTCTTAATGCTTGGAGCTCGTCTCGTCTGCACTTGACGATCCCAACAAAGGCGCTGCTCGGGGAACCGGTTGGACATGTTAATGATGAAAGTCGCATCTTTGGCAATCCAGTTCCTTGTCGCACACACCCATCGCATGCCCATAAGCTGCACGCGAAAGTCTTATTAACCCACATCGGGCCTGGAAACACATTTAAGCCCGAACAATGAAGATTTGCAGCTCGCTCGCTCGCTCGATGGGAGGTCAGGTCCGGTTCGGCACTCTCCTAATTCCCCAAAACAATTAGAACCCGTCGAGTTTGGCAATTACATTTCGATGTAACTGGTTGGGCCGGCTCCCCGTAATGGGCAGCAGCGCATCAATCTCGGATATCCGACAATGCCGCCTTAATTGGGAGTGTGTACGTACGTCACCACAGTTGAATGAATGATGGGCTGGAATTTCCAAAAGGCAATTGGCTTACAAATCCCATTAACTGGTCTTATCTTATTTATTTCGATTCGTCAGTTGAAGGAACGAAGGCACGTTTCGAATTCCGATAGACCAGTTTTAACCAAATCGCCTATCGGTTAAGTTTAAGGTACATTTATTCGTAATTGTTAAGGTATATGGCATTATTGAAAACTGTGTAGGCAAAGTATTTAATTTACCTCTTGTTGAATGTTTTCAATGAAGTACTTAGAAAAGTTAAAACAAAAGTTCAGATGGATTGCAACAAGGAAATGTCAAAAACTATTTTACTTCTGTTGTTCCTACATTCTGGGGCAAACTTCTGTTGCCTTTGAGCTCACACTCCATGAAATTACATCGCACTACCTTATATGATATGTTAAACTCTTACACACTTTTAACTAAGCATCATATTGTTTAAATTATATGAACAATGCAACACCTTGCATGCCCTCATCAACAATCATCGATAGCAACATCGAACATTTCGTTTCAAGAAAATATCGACAGCCCCATCATCGATTCATCGTTTTAGCGACTAAATACAAAAAAAAAAATAATAATAATAAAAAGTAAATAAACCCGGGGATAATTGTAAACAAGAGCATGAACGTTTCCGTAAATTAGTCAGATATCGTAGCACACAGGACGGACAAGCGATAAAGTTTGTACTTCCACGGATTCGCTGAATTTAAGCCATTTCAACAAACGAACAAGAACAGATGTAACACGTATGTGTGTATGAATCACGCATTTACGCATCTGGAAAATCACATAAAATATTATTAGTTAAGCTCCAAAAATCATAAAAAAAGATGTAGTACAAAGCGTTTGAGAGAGTTTGCCTAAAATTAATCATCGAGTCTATTTGAGTGATCGTTAAAACGGGCCTTAGTTTTGGGGTATTTATACAAAATAATTCATTAAAAAAAACCCGTTTCACTTTGAAGTCGAATTCTTTATTTTTTAAATAAGAAAAAGAAAATTCGTGATTGGGAGTGGTATTGGGAGTGTATATACGATACGATCACATGCACATATATCCGCACATGGTAATTTATCAATGAACATTTACCAAACAGTATACATATGCACTTCAAAAGACAAACATCTGGCACGAGTCGGCTGGTCTGATGCATTAATTTCGGGGACTCCCAGGTAGAGTTTACTTGCACACTGCACGCAAGCTTGATAATGATTAGTTCTGGGCCATCCAGTGCTAGAAGCACAATGTCTAAAGAAGAGTCATTCGTAATACTCGGGAGCTCTCCCGTTCCGTCGCTCTGCACTGACTCCCTTCTACTTGATGATGCAATGGATGCTAGTGATAGGCCAGTGCCAGTGACCCAGGAGAGTTATGGAGCTGACGTGTCTGCCGCTGGATCGAGCTCAGGGCCACTGTCCACGTCGGTTGACAGTGACAGACACAAGTCTCTGGCCGCCAGCTTCATCATGGGTGAAGTGAAATCGGATGTTCTCAAGGTTAAGTAGCAAAGCGTCTCTGTAGTCCGTTCTGGAAGATCACCAACTAACCCTTGTGCTTTCATTACAGAACAGCGTATATTCGCAGTTTCCCAGTCTCTGTTCTATGCAGGCGTCTGCCGAGGATGTGGTCAAGCTGCAGAACATGATGGAGGAGTACGTTTCGTTGAAGAGTATGTCAAGCAAGGATATTTTAGAGAAGCTCCAGTTTAATAATGTCCAAATCCTTCATACAGAAACACTGGATATGGTCAATCGCACAATGATGGACTACCACAAGCTGACGCAGCAATGGCGCCAGGAGGCCGCCGATCGAGAAGAGAAATGTAAACAGCAGCTGACGGAGTGCCAGGAGCAGGTGGAGAAGCTAAGAGCCGAAAATCAAGCGCTCATGGCCGAACTTGAGACGAAGCTAGTGCAGATCGAACTCGTGCAGGACATACGGCAGAAGGAGCAGGACGAACTCAGACAAAGTGTGTCGGAGAAGACGTCACTGATCAACAATATGCGTGTTGAAATTGACAAGCTTCAGCAAATCAATCTGGTATGTACATATGCACTTGGTGCAGAGTCCACAGCTCCAAGTTATCAGCCTACGCATATGTATGTCCTCTGCATGTGTATGTGTACTTACGCAACTATCAGCTTTCAGTGCAAATTGAGCTTTGCACTTTTCCATGTAATATACACTTATTTTTTGGGGTTTCACCATGTTCTTGGTAATTGCAGAATGGCTTCGAGTTTGTACCTGACGATGACAAGAAGAAGGCGAAGGAGGAAGTGAGCAATCCGCTCAACTATGTGCAGCGGGAAGAGCATGATCGCCAGATCCAAAAACTGCAGCGAGATCTATCCAAAATGTTGGCCGAGAAGCTTGAAGTGATCGATATGGTATGTACTTATACCCCGAAATGAATAAGAGATGACCTCAACATTTGGGGGAACTTTTTGCTAATGCATCTTATATTTTGTAGAAAAAAGTATACATACAGGAGATTGATTGCTTGAAGGTGAACCTGACAAGCGCCGAGGAACTAATGCACAAAATGGAGCGCGATATTAATCAGCTAAAGGCCAGGGACATCCAACGACAGGAAGAGATTGAACATCTGCAGACACAAAACGAAATCTACCGAAGGGACTTTGAAATGGAGCGTGCCGATCGCGAGAAGAATGCTGGCGAAAAGGAGCAGTATCTGTTGGATCTGCGATCGTTGCAAAGGCGCAATCAGGAGCTAATTGAGGCTCTTGCCGAGTCCCACAAATCCCCCAAGTCCGGCTCGCCCTCGCCCTCTACTTCGGGCGTGAGTAGCCTACGCGAGGACCAGAGACCAGTAAGAGTATGTGAAAAGTAATTCCGGCATTAAAATCCTCATGCTCATATTGGTTATTTGTTGTTTTAGGTACTAGATCCTAACGGCGCCGATGCTAGGCCAGCGGACAGTGCCCTGCGCTGCCCTATTTGCTCAAAGGGCTTCAACTCCCTGAGCGTGTTGCAGAGTCATGTCAATGATTGTTTGGACAAGATCTAAACACTTTCATTAATTACTTATTTATGGTATAACTTTAATTACTGCGCCGTTAATGAGCCAGCAACTTTATAAATTAACACATTATCAATTACAGTTTTAGTAGCGTTTAAAGGTGCACAATAGCTTGTCTCAGAGTTTGCTTTGAATGAGCGGCATTTCCAAAGACCACACCCGATGCACATCCTGGCTGGCAACCAAATTGTTGAGAACTTTCACATCTGCAAAAGGGCAAGCATTCGTTACTCATTGATGAATGTACATAAACCAGTAATTGTTAGCTACTCACCATTGGTGCGTGCGAATTGCTGCAGGGTGTAGCGTATATCACAAATGGGAATGGCTGTGTTGATGTTTGGATAGATGACATCGTCCATCTTAATGTTGGAGACACAAACACCCAGAATGTATCCGTTCTGGTCGAGCATTGGGCCCCCGCTTTGGCCGGCCTGCACGCTGCCATCGGACATGATCGCACCCGTGTCGCACTTGATGATCCTACCTTGGAATATTGAGGGATTGAAGTCGTACTTAAAGTTAAAGTTCACATAGTAGGGAAAACCCGCGTTGTATACGGTCTGGCCGAGCGTGGCCGGACCCTTGGCCAGGCGCACGCAATGGCGTTCGGGCACATCATCTGGGGCCGTCAGCAGGGCCAGGTCGTAGGGACGCTTGGAGTCCGGATTGCACCAGATCACATCCGACTGGAACTCTCGATCAGCTGCGCGACAGTGGACCTTGGCATTGGGCTAAATAAGACACATTTCAGATCTGTGTGCAGCAGACTGATTACAGGGTGTTAGTTTACCTGTCCCACAACGTGCGCACAGGTCAAGATGAAGTGCTTGTTGTGGACCGTAATGAAAGTGCCAGTGCCCTGTTGACCCGCCGAGTCAATTACAACAATTGTGCGCTCCCCTGCAATGTAAATATTAGCAATTATCATATAGCAATCGAAGCCGTCAGTTAAATGTATTTCTCACAGGCGAAACTCGAGGGCTCCCGTGCCAGGTTAAATGTTGTTATGGGAATACCCAGCTGCTCCATAAAGTTCCTCAAAAGGTATCCGAAATTGGCGGCCAGCGTTAGATTGACGTTTTCCTGCTGCCGCTGGAAAGAAGTGCATATGACAATGCCAATCAGTCGCCTAGAATGAATGGAGATAAAGAAATTCTAAAATAATTCCAAATACTCTGCCCCGTCTCAGTCATACAACTTGTTGTTAAAAACGGCCGATCCCTCGCAGCCCAGCGGTAGTGCATTGGAAATAGCAAACAAGCAGCCGCTGCGCCCCATGACGTTCGAGACCTTGCCAATGCTGATGGTCTTGTAAAAGTTCTCCAGGCCGAAGGGCGAGCACATGACCAGGACATCGTCCAGAGTGTGTAAGGGCTGTAGGTGCCTCAAATAGTTGCCAATTAGCACCAGAAAACGCTGAAAATATTCTCTCTCCGACGACGGCCGCATGCTCAGGACCACGAAGCTGGAGCGGAGCACCCAGTTGTCGTCAGCCGAGTCCGCAGATAGCAGTATTTTATGCAGATTTCGAGACACTTCCGAGGCGCAGAAGACGTACAGAGGATGGGCCGTGTAGCGGGAGAGGATGTGGCTCTGCCTCGAGCTGGCGGCCACATTTCGCTGTGGTCGTTGGCTCTGGCGGTCAAAGGTCACCAGGAAATTGAGCGAACGAATAAATTCCCCTGCCCCTCTCTCTTCATCCTGGGCATTGATAAGCTGGCACTGCTGTAGTCCGCTAATGATTCCATTCTTCGCCTGGCCTTTGTCTATATCGGTCCCCACACGGCAGTGGGGCTGTAGAACGCTACCCGAGCTTATGATAATTTCATTGTTGATTATGATTGCAGACTGCTTTGTGGCTGGTGGATTGGTTATCTCGAGCAGGGCATGCCGTATTTTGAGCAGCATTATCTTGCGGTGTAGAGGCTCTTTAGCCGATTCCCGACATGTCGAGAGCAGAACGCAACGAAAACCAAAACAAAGGTGCTTTGTTTGCAGTTGAGAGTTGCCATTCACAGCTAAACGTTGCAACTCTTGTTTCTCGTCAGCTGTTCGCAGCCAAAACAGTCTCAATCTAACCTCAACTAGGTTTTATTTCAACCAACAATTTGAATTTTGTGGACTTTTGCATAATGTTGCAACTAAGATGGAGCCTGCTAAGGCCGCTCCAAGGCGGCTACCGCAACACTCGGAGACACTTCGCACACAAGAACCTGCTGGACCTGACGGATCGAGGTTTCTTTCAAGGCATTTTCCCCGACACGGCTGCGTAAGTTTTATCCCTCCCGAGTATAAATCGCCTTTTAATGTATGAAAATGTTTTTCCGTCAGGCCCAAGATGAAGCAGCTATTCACAAGTGGGCAGCAGAGCATATATGCCGGCTTCGATCCTACCGCCGATAGCCTGCACGTGGGAAATCTCCTGGTTATCATGGGCCTGCTACACTGCCAGCGAGCCGGTCACAGGCCCATTGCTCTAGTGGGCGGAGCCACGGGTCTTATCGGGGATCCAAGTGGACGCAAAACGGAACGCAATCAACTGGGAGAGTCTGTGATAGAGACCAATCTGAGGGCAATCGAGCAGCAGCTGACGAGAGTGTTTGAGAACCATGAAAAGTGCCTCTGGGACACCCGTAAAAACAGCGGGCCCCTGCAGCGATTAACGTAAGAGAATAGCCAGAAGTCAGTGCGTATGATAGCCTCTATATATTCCCACACAGGATCGTCAACAATGCCGAGTGGTACGCTAATTTGCACCTGGTAGACTTCATTGCCAATATGGGCCGACACTTTCGCATGGGCTCTATGCTGTCGAGGTCGTCGGTGCAATCGCGCCTAGAGTCGGAGGATGGCATGAGCTTCACGGAGTTCACCTATCAGATATTCCAGGCCTATGACTGGCTGCACCTGCTGCGCAAGCACAACTGCCGTTTCCAAATGGGCGGCTCCGACCAGACGGGCAACCTGATGACCGGCCACGAGCTGATCAGCCGTGTGGAGCGTAAATGCGAGGTGTTTGGCATGACGCTGCCCTTGGTGACCAACGAGGAGGGGGACAAGTTCGGAAAGTCGGCGGGCAATGCTGTGTGGCTGGACGAGAGCAAGACATCGCCCTTTGCCCTGTATCAGTTCTTCCTGCGCATGCCAGACTCCGAAGCAGAGAAGCTACTCAAACTGTTCACCTTCATTCCCCTGCCCGAAATAGAGCAGCTGATGCGGGAGCACGAAAAGGAGCCGGAGAAGCGAAAGGCCCAGACGCTTCTGGCGGAGGATGTGACGTTGCTTGTGCATGGCGGTTCGTTCACCTCGGACAAGCGTCCTTCCTAATCGATCAGCTATAATTGATACGTTTAAATGTTGCAGAAGATGGACTAAAGCAGGCGGAACGAGTCACCAATGCATTGTACAAAGGGAAGGTAGATGGCTTGGCCGAACTGAATTATGCTGAGATAAAGCAGACTTTCCAGGGCGCCGCTGTAGTGGATCTGCTGACAGAGCCGGGCATGTCCATACTGCAGCTGGCCATGAAGGCCAAGTGTTTCCCCACAGAGAGTAAGTACCAAACAGAGGCGAAAGACGGACTGCTTATTGAGTGAATTCCTTTTTGCAGCCGATGCCGTTCGTATTATTAACGCTGGCGGCTTCTATGTCAACCAGAAGCGAGTGCAGAACATTGCCGAAGTGATAACTGCTGGCATACACATACTCCGGAATGGTGTTTCCCTGTTGCGTGTAGGAAAGCGAAACTTCTACATCGTGCGCTGGCAATAGTTTTGTGTTAAATAATCATAAGTTTATCTATATTTATGGAGTCTTGTGGAAGGGCTGGGGCAGTGAACACTATTTAATTTGGTCTGGGAGCGGGCTTGCGCCAGCGCTTGCGCGCCAGGAACTCCTTGGCCTTCTCCTTCTTCAGGTCCTTGTCGTAGAACTTTCCACTTTTGGTGAAGGTCTTCTGCTCGTTGCGCATCTCGGCCAGCTTGCGGTTCTTCTGCTTTATTATGTTCTTCTTGTTGGCCGACTTCTTCTTGCCAGCTTCGGATATCTGCACCTTGATGCGACGACCCTGGAGCTCTGTGTTGTGCAGCTCAAAGCCGCGCTGAAAACTCGCCAGGTCCATCATCTCTACAAAGGCAAAGCCCCCGCGACGTTTTTTCGGGATTCTAATGGATTTCACCAAGCCAATTGCTTCAAAGTGTCTCTCCAAGTCGTCTTTCGTCGTCTCAAAGTTAAGATTTGTGACGTACAGAACGTGTCTGTTTGTTTTCGAGGCTCCACGAAGCAAAGAGTCCAACTGATCTTTGGTTAACCGACCATCCGACGGGGTTTCTGGTTCCTCCTCCTCTGACTCGGAGGCCGCACTGCCTGAGGGTGGTGCGCCATCGCCATCGGAGTGGTCTTCTTGGTCTCCATCCTCGCTGTCACTGTCCTCGGGATCACTCGGATTTCTGCCATCCTCCTTGTGCACGTACGTTCCATCGAGTATTTCCTTTCGTTTCTCGTCGTCGAAGTTGCCCAGCAGATCGGCACTGTCATCGTTGACCGCCCGACGCACTCGTTTCGGCTTTATAAATGCCTCCACCTCATAATCACTGCCAGAATCGCTGGCCATCGCTCCAAATGTTTAAAATAAATTATACCAACACAACACGTGTGAGTTCTATGTGAATGGCAATTAATGGCCAAGTGTTTGGCAATTTCTGTAAATGTGCAAACATGGCTTGTGGAGCACTGGAACACTTGGCGGCACGATATTCAAATGTTTGCTTTGATCTAATCTTATATTTTGAAGGTCAACTGGCTGCAGTGGCATAGATAATTTTTGTTTAATAAGAACCGGTTCGAATTTGCGGGCGCCAAAACAGACAGATAACGGAGTTATCTGCAAATTATGCAAAAGTGTGTTGCCGATAACAACACCGGATAACAGTACCGGTTTGCACTTATCAAATCATCTGGTGGATGATGAACATCCAGGTAAAACGAGAATATTCCGCAGATTATCATAGATTGGTTCCTGTGGACTTGAACAATAATTAATGCCTGTCACAATTAATGCCTTGTGCAGATCCACAATGACTGCATCAGTGTGTTTTGCTTAATTAAAACAAAAGTCCGTTTAAATCCAGTTATGAGACAATTTATACGCTTTGCTAGGCTGCCCTGCCGGCTGCTGCGCTGCCCCAGTCGTCAGGTCAGTTGCGAAATGTCAACAAATCAGTATATAAACGACTATTTTGGATGGCATTAGTTAGATTTGTTTCGCACTCTGTCAGCATACATATCCTTATCATCCAACATGAAGTTCGTGGTGAGTGAACATCTCGAAATATATTAAAGAGAATATCTTCTAGCAAAGTGTTCTCCTACAGATTGTTCTTGCCTGCCTTTTGGCCCTCGCCTATGCCAACGAAGAGGCTGATGTCCTGAAGAACGACTCCGAGGTGAACGTGGAGGACTTCAAGTATGCCTATGAGCTCTCCAACCACATCAAGGCTGTCCAGTCTGGTGTGCTGAAGGAACATGATAACTGGGTTGTTTCTGGAGAATACGAGTATGTGGCTCCCAACGGCCAGCTGGTCAAGGTTGTCTACACTGCTGATGAGACCGGCTATCACCCAAAGGTTGTCGAGGCATAAGCTCTTAACCAATTCATTCCCAAAATAAAATCAAACGTATACCAGAAAATAGTACGTTGCAATTTAAGTGTGAAATGTGAACAGGGCAGTGCCAAGGAATATTTGCGACCGGGGCGAAGTTGTAAAACGAGCATCCTTTATATTCAAAATTTGATAGTTTGGAGGGTAAATCGGCGCCACTAACTCTTGTTGCCCACAGCAAATTCCCTCACAACCGACAACACCATAGTATGCCATCGTTGTGAATGGTATTTTTCTTCTTCAGTTTTCAGTGTTGCCTAGTGCTGGAAAAATTTGTGGTCGAATTTTTGTGCAAGTTTTGTGTGCTAAAATCTTTGCAAAGAGTTTGAAAGAGTTCTTAAGCCATTTTGGACAGATCGGAAGGCTCTTTGAGTGACGCTCCGGTAGCTTTTGCGGAGGAAAAAAAAAGCGGCGAGAATTGCGCTGCCTCGCTGGAGAAAATTGCAAAAATGGATGTGGATACCGAAATGAAGGACCAGAATATTGACATTCCGAATTCGAGCAATGCTCTAGAGAAGACTACGGAGCCACTTGACGAGGCCAAGGATCTCGAAGCCGACAGTAGCTTCGAGTTGCTGAGTAGCCCCACTCCGGCAGAGGCTTTGGCGCCAAGAACAGAGTCGGACAACAGCGTAGAGCTCTTCGAGAGTCACCTCAAGTCGCCTTCCTCAAACGAAGTTAACGAAGAGGAGTTACTGCCCCTTGAAGAGGATGAGGAGGAAAAACCAGGAGCCACCAATGAGTCTGAGCTAAAAGAACGTGAAACCGACAGCAAGGAGAGCAAGGAAAGTGACGCCTTGGCTGACAGCAGCATTGAACTAATCAGCAGTCCTACTACGGATGATTCCCTTGCGAAGGAAAAGGAGGTGGTGCCGCCAGAGACTGCATCAAAACCTGACGACAGTATTCAAATGGATGATGGCACAGCCATGGCAGAAGATATACCAGTGGCCAGTCCAAAAGCAGCCCAAGAATCAAAGGATCACCAAAAATCCTACAAATCTACTACTCAGTTGGAGCCGCCAGTCGATTCCAAGGTGAATGGAGTGACAGTCGAGCCAAAAGTTACACCAAAAGATAATGCCGACTCCATGGAAATCGACGAATCTCCCAGTGCCGCCCTCAAAGAAGCTCTCGCGGTGGTGCTAGAAGTGGGTAATCCGCCAAAGGAGGAGGAGGAGCCAAAAGGCGTCTTTTCCTGGGACGGGGTGATCTCCTACAACAAGGATTGCATTAACTGCAACTGCAAGCGGCAACACAAGCAGTATGTGCTGGCCTGCGTGGCTATCCTGAACTTCTACAAGGCTCCGAGGAAGTTGCATAAGACGCAGTACATTTGCCTGGGCTGCTACGACACAGCCCTGGATACCTATGAGGTGAGGTCGCAACATATATTTTTACTGGTGGATCAATGTGTTGTATACAAAATGTCCCTTTTAGGAGTACGCCGGTCTTCTGCTGGCAAAGCAGCCGCTGTTGCTGAAGGAATTCAAGCAGGAGCAGGCTGATTTTGTTACCCTGGACAGCAGCGACGAGGAGGAGGATGAAAAGCCACCAGGTGCAGCCATCCGACTAGCTTTTAAGAAGTTTATATTTTAATGTTTTCTTTGATTTGTTGTAGAAAAACCCGAGTTTTCCAAGAATGTATTGAATCTAATCGAGAACGAACTGGAAGATGCCATTAAGAAGACGCTGAATATGGTGGACTTTGAAAAGCAACTCAACTGGTCGAAGTCCATCATTGAAGCCAGAATGGAGCGCTTGGGCCAGGAGTTCGAGGAGGTGGACCTGAAGCTGGCAAAGGTCCAAAGTTTGGCGGACAAGATGCACTGCTCCGTTTACAATTCATGCCAGGTGGTGCACAAGCAATTGCCGCCCCTGGATCTCCACCAGAACATCTGCACTAGTGATTATAAAGTGAGTTAAAAGCAGAGGAAGATGGAGAGCACATTTTGATATTTGGATATTTTAGCGTCTGCAGCACCTGCCTGCATCTGGTGAAATCGAACGGCCGCCGATCAAGGTTGGGGAAACCTACTACGCCGTGAAGAACAAGGCCATTGCCAGCTGGGTGTCTGTCAATGTAGTGGAGATCTGCGACACCACCACCGCCGGAGGTATCACCGTGAAGGCCTATAAGATCAAGTATCAGCACATGCCCTATCCGATGATGAAGACGGTGACGGCAAAGCACTTGGCCTACTTTGATCCGCCGACAGTGCGTCTGGCCATTGGTGAGTGGATGCAATCCTTCCTTAAATTACTCTCTGAATAAACTGTCTTCCCTTTCGGTCAGGCACTCGCGTGATCGCCTTCTTTGACGGCACATTGGTGCGTGGCAAGGAGAAGGGCGTGGTGCAGAGCGCCTTCTATCCGGGTATTATTGCCGAGCCCCTGAAGCAAAACAATCGCTTTCGCTATCTGATATTTTACGACGACGGCTACACCCAGTATGTGCACCACAGCGATGTGCGCCTGGTGTGCCAATCATCTGAAAAGGTGTGGGAGGATGTGCACCCCGCCTCGCGCGATTTCATCCAGAAGTACGTGGAGAAGTACGCGGTGGACAGACCCATGGTGCAATGCACCAAAGGACAGAGCATGAACACCGAGTCCAATGGCACCTGGCTGTATGCCCGCGTCATTGAGGTCGACTGCAGCCTGGTGCTGATGCAGTTCGAGGCCGACAAGAACCACACGGAGTGGATATATCGCGGCTCGCTGCGCTTGGCCCCCGTCTTCAAGGAGACGCAGAATTCCCTGAATTCCGACAGTGCCATCCACCAGATGCGGGTCCCTAGAGTGAGTTTGTTATTCATTAGAAATTGCTGCATTTCCAACTAACTTCGGACTTGCAGCGCACTGAACCCTTCATACGTTACACCAAGGAGATGGAGTCGAGCAACAGGCAGGTGGATCAAAAGATACGTGCCATAGCCCGCAAAAGCACCGCGAAATCAGGATCGACAAGCTCATCGTCGGCATCCCCTTCAGCGGCAATGGCATCCGCCTCCGCTGTCCGTCACCTAAACAACTCCACCATTTACGTGGACGACGACAGCCGTCCCAAGGGCCAGGTGGTGCACTTCACGGCCAAGCGGAATCAGCCGACGAAAGATTTTAAGACCCACAAATGCAACCCG